GTGTGTGTGTGTGTGTGCGCGCGCGCGCGCGCGCGCGCCGCGGGTGGGGGAGAGGGTGGAGCTGGAGAGAAGGAGAGAGTAATAGGAGACCTTATCTTGTATGCCAGATGGAGAGGGGATAAGGGATTTCTAGATAGAGGAGACAGGCTATGCAAAAGCACAGAGGCGTGAAAAGAGAGGCACTTTGAGGCAAGTGCATGTAGTTCTGCAGTGTTGCGGTTGGAGAGGGGAAGGCAACGAGTGGAGGGTGTTGAGGGTCATGGTAAAGGGCTTCCTGAAGGCATTGAACTTTCAAGTAGGGGCATGACTTGGTCTGATGTAGGTGTCAAGGAGTCAAGGAGATGCCCGCAGCAAGGTGAAGAAGGCAGGGACTCTTTCGGATCTGTCTGCACATGCGCAGTGCTTGGTACACGGTAAAGGTGTGTAGCTGAATGACAGCAGTAAGATTGTCGACTGCAGGAAGAGAGACTGGCCCCAGTTAGGTCACTGTTGTCATAGTGCCTGCAGGAGACCTGAACTGGGGCCATGACATTGGGGAAGGAGAGAAGACTATAGGGTATTGAGAGTATAGACACTATGGAATTTAGTAATGGAGCATGGCTCCCCACTTTCTGCCTTCTCCAGAAAAGGCTTCACTGGAGTTAAACTTCGTTGAGGTACAATTTAAGAAACAGTTTGAATTTACCTCTCTGCTGTTTACATTACGTTCCCTCCCTCACACGACCACCTACCCGGTCCGGTGTCTCCATCATTGCCAGAAACAAGTTGTTACCTTAATGCGAAGACTTTTTCTTGCAGTCGGAGTCTGATTTTGCTCATGTGGGTCTCTTCCCCAAGTGACCAAGGGAAGGATGACCCCAGCCCAGTCTGGCAGTTAAGTCCCTTTTGGTCCAACTCCATTGTGGTGTTGTATTCCTCTTGCCAGTGATACTTTGGGCTGGAACATGTAGATCTGGCCTGAAAAACCAGAGGGCAAGCCTATGGTGGGGAAGTGACTTCTGCTGAGGGTCTCTTCCCTTTCAAAAGCACTCTGCCCCCTTTGCTGATTGTGGATGTGTTTGGTGGTGATGCTCGGAGTTGCCACAGTTTACTTGCTCCCACTCTGAGGATGCAGCCAACGCATGACTGAGGTGGGGGGAGTCCAAGGGAAGAAGGGCTGGTGCTCTGAAGTAGAGCTTAGACCTTTGGATATATGAGGTGGCCCACCTTATTGCTTAAGCAAGTTTAATAATTGTGTGCTGTCACTTGGCAAACAAAAGAATCCCAAATAATATACTGATATGCACCCCCAATATTTTTTTGTAAGGAGGGTGGGGTATAGATTATTGAAGCATTTGAAGCGAAATGAAAAAAAGCCTTGATGACAGGTGGATGGGCTTCAGTTATTCCACATGTAATCTATCCCCCTCTTCTATAGCAATATAGTAGCTGGCCACATAGCTGGTCTGCTGGAGACCGCACTTCCTAGTTGCTATCGCTGCCGAGCGTGGCTTTGTGACTAAGTCCTTTCCAATAGAACGTAAATAGAAACAGTGCTTAAGGCACTGGGGCTTTTGCTCTGCCATGCTCCATTTCCTCTTCCCTCGAGGTGGAACACAGATGTGCCAGGGACCCAGCTTCCATAATGCTTCAAAGGGGTTGACAAAGCAAAAATAAGGAAGGAGGCTGGGTTCTGAATGACGACCCGGAGTGGAACCACTCACCAACGTGGACTAGAGAAAGACAAATAAACGTCCACTTTGGATAAGCCGTTGTATTTCGGGTCTATTTCTTGCAGCAGCTTGGCCTAGCCCATGCTATCCCGTAGCTGTTTTCAGAAGCTCTGATACTATGTTAGCTACTGCCTGAATCTTTTCAAGTAGCTAAGTTCCTCTTGCTCTGTAGCTGCAACCCCTTCCCAAGTGTGGGGAATATGGTCTTCTCTGGAAATAATTTCAGGAAAAAAAGTTGTTTTGAAAACTATCCAAGAGATCTTGTTGAGTGGAAAACACACACACACACACACACACACACACACACACACACACTCAGACACAGACACACAGTCACACGCATGCACACAGGCATTATCTGCCTAGGAGAAATCTGTAAAACTCTGCAGGAGTTCCAGCGGTGTTTATCTATGGGCCAGGATAATGGAGGGGACTTGAACTTTTACATAGTATGCGTAGCTCTATTTACTATTTAATTTTGTGATCAGAAAAAATAAGTACACAGTCAGATGTCAATGTCATTCTTCATGATTTCCTTATTTGCAAATGTACCTGCTTGTAAATTGATCTGTAACCCCAAATCAATACTTGAGGAACTTCTGCAGTCATTTAAGGATCTACGCACGCGCAGAGTACTGACCCTTTCGACTTGTCTGACACTCGTGTTCTCAGCTGAGGTCCAACAAGGTGACCAGGGGATATTCTGCCTTCTTGTTTCAGCCCTCCTACCGTAAACAAGTGTCTTTGTCATGGTGTATTCAGTGCCATGTTTTCATCATTTTTGTGCGCTTTGTTGGTGATGTTGCTGTTTAAACTGACCCCTGAGGGTCGCACTGAAATGCTGGCCGGTTCCTAAACCCAGGAGAGCCGTGTTGAGCCTTAGGGAGAAAACACGTGCATGTGGTAGATGAGCTTCCTTCCGGCCTCAGTTACAGTGCTGTTGGCCACGAGTTCAATATTAATGAATCAACAGTGCATATTAGATATGGTGTCTTTAAACAGAAACATACATAAAACAAGGTTATGCATTGATTGGCTGATGAAAATGTGGCCAGAGGCTCGCAGGAACCTAACACTGTATTTCCTCAAGGGGCAATGATTCAGTCAGTATTCCCTATTTCAATCTTTATGGCAACTTTAGAGAACCCAGCTACCATGAATAACGAGTGGACTGTATTTAAAATTGTTGTGTTTAGGGGCGCCTGGGTGGCTCAGTCGGTTAAGCGTCTGACTTCCGCTCAGGTCATGATCTTCCGGTTCGTGAGTTGGAGCCCTGCGTCGGGCTCTGTGCTGACAGCTCAGAGCCTGGAGCCTGCTTCAGATTCTATGTCTCCCTCTCTCTCTCTCTGCCCCTCCTCCGCTTGTACTCCATCTCTCTCAAAAATAAATAAACATTAAAAAACATTTTTTTAATTGTTGTGTTTAACGGCATCCACCAGGATAAGGACCAACAGCCATGTCCCTTTCCATGCAGATACCTACCTCCGGTTCAGGTTTACTCAGAGCAGGAGGGGCAAGATAATGAGCATTAACTGAGCCTCTCCTGTATGCCAGGCGCTGTGCCTGGTGTTTCATGGCGTGGTTTCATTTAATCCTCACCACTGCCATCCAGACTGGCTGGTTTTCTCCCCCTTTGCAGATAAGGACACTGTGGCTCAGAGGGGTGAGTTACTTGCCCAGAGCCAGGCCAAGTAGGAGGCACAGGCTTCTCCACCCAGAGCCGCTGGAGAAGATTTCATGGTGTGCAGCCTGGAACTGGGCCAGATCTGGGCCCTCAGCTCCATCCAGTGGAGCCCCTCCCCATTCCAAACCCTTGCCTGTCTCCTCAAGCCCTGCAGATTCGCCCCTGCTC